GGGGGGGGGGGGGGGGGGGTTAACACAGACCCTAGGTGGGGCAGATCTACCTGTGAAGGCAGAGCTGACCATCAAAGGAACCAGCAAGACTACCTCTGGCCCCAGGGACTGGCTTCCCAACAAACCAAAAGATAACATCAAAGCCACGGCAGATGAGAGAATGGACATGAGATGGGGCTGGAAAAGAGCTGACAGGTGGGTCAGGCCATAGGACCATGCACCAGGTGCCAGGGTGGTAGACTCCCAATCCCTGCAACAATGTGCCATAGAAATATTGGGGAAGCACCTGACATGAAAGTGGAAGATCATTGTGTTGGGCACTAACTCTTTCTTTCATTCTTTCTTTCCAGCTACTCAGAAGTTACAAACACAAGTTAGTTCAAAGCAGTGAACCTTTTTCCAACTGTAGTCAGATGCTATTCCAGTGTGAAGTAAATGGAGCACTTCACACCCATTCACTAAAGTAAATTTATTTTGATTAATCTTATACACTTGTCAAAAGCTGTGCCAAGATGTATAAACAAACCATTTTCTTGGATTGTTTCAAGCTAATCATATTAACTTATTTGCTCTATTGGCTTTGGGGAGTTTCCAAGTGGAAATGATTGAAGTTGGGTCCAAAAACAGCTTTATTTCATTGCCAGTTCTGGTGCTAATGTGTGCCTCATTGGACTTCTAGTGTCCGTGTCAACAGCCTGGAAGCTTTCATATTAGAGGATTTCAGCATCAGCTCATCGGCAGCTTCTTTCTGTGAAAGGTCCTGTTTAATAGGTCTGTTATTTAGAATGTAAGATATCAACGATAAACACTTCAGTTGGCATAAATTAATGTTGCTCCACTGAAATACAGTTGAGGATGTAGCCCTGGTTTTAAATCATGCCTACCTACACAGATATAAGACATATATGGTATGGCTTCAGTCGTACACTTAGCATATGTAGGAGCAGAAAGATGCTAAGAAAGAACAGAAGGTGACTGCTGGAGGAGGAGGAGGAAATATTGTCAACATGCTGTAGAGGGTAAACATTAATTATGATTAAGGTTGATGTTTAGGATGGCAAAAGATGAGAAAATCCCTGGTTTGTCAATGCACAAGTCATAATTTTTAAAAGATAATAAAAAAGTCACAGCTCACAAATTATAAGAGAAAAATATCCTTTATTCCGGAATTTAAAGCCAGCTTGGGCAGTGCACATCATATTTTGCTCTATTTTGAATATACAGAGAGCTCAGTTGCAGTTTCATCAAATAATAGCAAGGGGCTACGGCTACAAAGACTAGGCCTTTTGATTGAAAAGAACTCCCAAGACTCATAGTTGTTATAATGCAAGTCACGGTTGTGGCAAACTCACAGCTCTAATTCTGGGGAAGCACTGAAGGTGACATTCAAAGAGAGTGCTAGGTGGTGCCCAGACATCTTGTTGGCCACATGAACAGCAAGAGATCAGTCAGAAGGAAAGCAACCCTCAGAATGGACTGTAGTATTCCAAGTAATAATACCTATCTTAATGTAATCTGTAGAGCTCTAGAGCATTTTTGAAAGAGGGGTAAGTGTCATCTCTATTTTAAAAATGGGGAAGCAAGCACAACAATGGTGAAGTGACTTACCCAGCTTCACCCAGAAGGCCACAGCAGAAGCACTTACGACACGGCCTGTAAGATTCCAACAAAATCTGTGAATTCTGCTAAATACCTTGTCAAAAGGACATGAAAAAGGAGAGAGCCCAGAAGGCCAATAAGTAGAACCAACCATAGCTGAACCTAGAATTCCCGTCAGTCTGATACTACATTTCTATGATTCTACATAGAAGAACTGGTTACTTTTCCCTTTTTTATTCATAACAAATATCTCAGAAGACTGCCTTTTTCCACCCAAAATGTTCAATGTTGAATACAGCTGGGAGAAGCTGGATGTAACCAACTGCAAAGGCCTTGCAGCTTCAGCCAAGTGCCAGGTAAAGCATCTTTGCCCTTGAAACAGAGAAGAAAGAGTCAAGGAAGGAAAAGGAGAGAAATCCCAGCCTCCAGCCTACTTTCCTCTGTGGAAAGACTTGAAACTTCTGCAGGTGGATTTGTGGCTCCAGGATTGGACTCTTAAGTAACCTCAAGACCCATCAAAAAGATGTGGTACAGAGCATCCTCAAATCAAGGGACTGCCAACAACAATGCCATCCACTTTTAACAAGAGACAAATTCCGTTAATATTACTTTTTGATGAAAAAATATTTCAACCATCACCATATTTGTTGCTCTTCATCCTGCCATTTGGATCCCTGTTGGCAGAACTTAAGATCCACTGAACTTTCATGTTAAGAAAATGCCTAGCGTGCCGACTGCTCCACTGAAAATAAACATAAAATAATATTTTTCCCTTCAAAGATAGATTCCTTTGGTGGCAACTCCCCATTGCCATTTCTCTCTCTCTGTCTCCCGCCCGCCCCTCCCTTCCACCCCTTCCTCCCCTCTCCTCTATCATTTCAGTTGGACGTGATATC